AGAGGCAGCAGCATAGAATGTGTGTGAGGTGGGTTTCGGTATGGAGATGCCTGATCACCCCCTTTTCTGCCTTCCACAGAAGCAGGTGGGCTGTCTGTGGGGAGCTTGGGCCCACTGTGGACCGAGGCTGGGGCTGCCCTGTGCTGCTGCCTCTGCTAGGGTATGTCTACACTACCACCCTAGTTCGAACTAGGGTGGTGGTGTAGACATACCCCTAGAGAGGCAGCAGCGTGGGGGGCAAGCATTTCTGTAGTATCTGGTGCTCGTGGGGAGCTGGCTTAAAAGCCAGTTCCCCATGAACCTCAGTTCCTCACTCTCCCCTCTTACTGCCTCTCTTTGGGTATGTCTACACTACAGCACTAATTTGAACTAACTTAATTTGAATTAGTTAATTCGAAATAAGCTAATTCAAATGAGTGCATCTAGACCTAAAAACTAATTCGAATTAGCATTTTGCTAATTCGAAATAGCATGTCCACATTGAGTGGACCCTGAACCGAAGTTAAGGCTGGCCAGAACCAGTGCCGTCAGGGCATCAGGTTAGGACGCTGCTGCCTCAGGCTAGCCGAGGGTTGTGCTTAAAGGGACCCGACCTCCACCCCGGACAGACAGTTCTCAGGGTTCCCCACTTGCTTGTCTAACTCGAAGAGGGACAGCAAAGCAGTCCTGTCTTGGAGTGCCCTGAGTGCACACACTCGGCACAATACAGCACTCGGCCATCAGCCCGGCTGCACTTGCTGCAGGCTGCCATCCGTGGGGTCCAGGAGGCCCTGCAGGAGAGCTTCCACCCCGAGGAGCCCACAGAGCCACCCCTGTCCTCCCCATCAGGGGCTCGTGCCCCATTCCTCCCTCACCTCCTTCCACTTACCCTTCCCGAGCCCCCTCTTCCTGATGTAAAAAATAAAGGACATGTGTTCAAAAATAGAAACTCTCTTTATTTAACAAAACTGGGGGCGGAGGGGATTAACCTCTGGGGGACTGGGAAAAGGAGGTGGGAGAGGGGAAGAAAGAGGGTGGGAGAGGGGAGGTGGAAACCTGGGAGGAGGGAGCTGGAAGGGGGAAGCCAGGGGAAGAAGGAGGAGGGGAAGTATAAACCTATGGTACGCCATATCTTCAGAACTGTGTACAGATGTGGTCTTCTCACCTCAAAAAAGATATGGCCTTGGAAAGGGTTCAGAAAAGGGCAAGTACAATGATTAGGGGTTTGGAACAGGTCCCATATGAAGAGAGGCTAAAGAGACTGGGACTTTTCAGCTTAGAAAAGAGGAGACTGAGGGGGGATATGATAGAGGTCTATAAAAGCATGAGTGGTGTGGAGAGGGTGCATAAAGAAAAGTTCTTCATTAGTTCCCATAATAGAAGGACTAGAGGACACCAAATGAAATGAATAGGTAGCAGGCTTCAAACTAACAACAGAAAGTTCTTCTTCACAAAGCAAATAGTCAACCTGTGGAACTCCTTGCTACAGGAAGCAGTGAGGGCTAGAACTATAACAGAGTTTAAAGAGAAGTTAGATAAATTCATGGAGGTTGGGTCCATGGAGTGGTATTAGCCAGGGGGTAGAAATGGTGTCCCTGGCCTCTGTTTGTGGAAGGCTGAAGATGGATGGCACGAGACAAATCGCTTGGTCATTGTCTTCAGTCCATCCCCTCTGGGGTACCTGGTGTTGGCCGCTGTCGGCAGACAGGCTACTGGACTAGATGGTCCT